CACACACACACACACCAGCTGCTGGGGGGATCAAAGACCCACAGCAGACAAGTTGCAAGTCACACTTTATTCACTCTCTGGTTGGTATGGAGGGTTCCTGGGCAGCAGGTCTGGGTCCTGGGAAGGAGGCATGGTGGGGAGGGCACTAGTTGGAGGGGTGGAAGGCGCCACGTTGGTGCCACTGCATGTCGCGGATGCGGCGCACAGACTGCACCTGGGGGTGAGGGGCCCCAAAATCGCTGCTGTCCTTGTAGTCTCCCTTCTCCAGCAGGTACTGCAGTCCGCGGTAGCCAGGGTACTGGTAGCCAACCCACCTGCAGGACCAGAGGTGAGGGGAGGGTGAAGCGGGGGAACAGGAAGAGAAACAAGAGAGAGGCGAGGGGAGAGCATCCATAAGCCACTAGGAAGGGTGAAGCCTCCCAACCATTGCCACTTCCCAGGAGTAAGCAGGACACCCTTTCCACCCCACCCTTCCAGCACTGAGCCTCTGCTTTCTTCCTTCTCTTCACAGGGAGCTCACTGCCTCCTGAAGCAAATTTTGACTGAAGGCCTGGTACTGGGGTCAGAGCAAGGGGGTGGTATCTTAAGCTCACTGAAGTTTAGAATAAGTCAGACCTTTGAACCATCTCTATCCACTCCTATCCCACCTCCAAGCTCAGCTGAAAGACCAAAGAAGAGTTGGGGGAGGTTCCAGGGGCTACTTAATGAAAGTGCTGGTCTTCTCTCCAGAAAATGGCACACAGGCCTGGCCTGCAAGGACCTGCCTGGTCAGTCTCTGTGGACATCTCCAGCTCTACTTCGCATTCTTATGATCCCACATCTCTGCATTCCAGCCAGTGGCCTTTGTAGAGTTTCTCAGACCTACCAGGCTCCCCCCACATGCACCACAGGGCCTTTGCACATGCTACTCTCATTGTCTGGGACGCTCTTCCTTGGCCTCTTTACCCCCCACAATTCCTACTGTTTCTTGAGATCTCAGCTCAAGAATCTTTTCTTCAAGGAAGTAGCTTAGACTTACGTGGATTCTTAAATTATTAACAGTTGCCCCTTCTAGACTGTTGGCTACACAGGGCAGAAGCCAGATCTCTTTAATCTCCTTCACCCTGGGCACCTAACACAATGCCTGGCATATGACAGCACTGACAAATTGAATGAATGAATGAATGAAGGGAATGAGGGAATGAAGGGGAACAGGAGCACAGAACTTTGCACACCACTTTAGGAGTTTGACAAACCCCAAGAAGCCAGTATATTTGGCTAAACTGGTTCTGTTGGGGGGAAAGAGCCTTAATTTGTAGCACTTGCTGATTTCTATGCTGTAAATGCACCCGCTGTGACTGGTTTCAAGCTACCAGTGATTAGTCAACCAGTTCACACAAATTCTGAAAATGTAAGAGTCGGTTCCAGGCTGGGCGCGGTGGCTCACGCCTGTAATCCCAGCACTTTGGGAGGCCAAGGAGGGCAGATCATGAGGTCAGGAGTTTGAGACTAACCTGGCCAACACAGTGAAACCCCGTCTCTACTAAAAATGCAAAAAATTAGCTGAGCTTGGTAGTGGGCACCTGTAATCCCAGCTAT